TGACTGATCTGGATATGTTCTTTTTGATGATGAATGAAACACCATTTCTCTTCAATTTGTCATTCTTGGCATAGTAAACCATATGGTTGTCAGATTCAAAATGGCCAGTACCAGTCCATTTCAGCTCACTAATACCTAAGATATCTATGTTTATGCGTTCCATTTCATTTTTGACATCTTCCAATATTCCCGGATTCATACTTCGTACATTTCATGTTCCGATTTTCAATGGATGTTTACCGCTGTTTCTCTTCATTTTGAGTTGTGCCCCATCAGCAAATGAAGGTCCCATGGGCCTTTCTCCCACGGGCTTTACTCCATTTGCGTCATCACAGTCAACTCTATTTTAAGGAGGAAGCTCTTCCCCAGTCACATTTTGAGTGCCTTCCAACCTGAAGGGCTCATTTTCCGGCTCTATATCTGACAGTATTTCTTTATTATTCATAAGGTTTTAAGTGACTAAACATTTGGAAGTAGTTCATCATTCTTTCTTCCTAGTCTTTCTTTGTCTGGAAGCTCATCTGAAACCTCTCTACCATAGGTCACCCTGCTGGTTATTTAAAATATCAGTGGCATAGCTTTCAGAATCACAGCAACTCATAAGCCACCACAGTACGACAAACTGACATATGAGTGGTGGAAGGATTACATTATAAGGTCCTATATAGAGTGGAAGAAAAATGTGGAACAAAATTCAGAATCAAAATATAAAAAGACCAGGCTTACTGGTCAGATAGAGACTGATGGAACCCCTGAGATTGTGACCCTTAATTATCCTTCAAGTTTGGAACTGAACTCACTACCATGGCTCATGTTTCAGACAAACAATATACATGTCTATAGTGGGAACAATAACACTAATGAGGTATGCACACCTTAGAGTAACTAATCAGTTAATATCAAAAGAGCAATATTTACCAAAGGACAAAGATCAGAAGAGTAAGGAAAGCAGGAGGAATACAAATAGGAAACACAGGAAGGAAGTGGGATGATTATAGAAAGCTTGTAATCCCATCTTCAGCTTATAACTGATTGTTGTTGTTAAGTGCTGTGGAGTCGATTCCGACTCATAGGGTTTCCGAGGCTGTAAATCTTTACAGGAGCAGACCGCCTCATCTTTCTCCCGCGGAACTGCTGGTAGTTTGGAACTGCTGACCTTGCGGTTCGCAGCCCGATTCGTAACCACTACGCTACCAGAGCTCCTTTTATAACTGATTAGAATACCTAAAAGGGATTCTAGAACATGCCCAGTGAAATAGGCTTCCTGTGGAGCATTTGTAGTGTATAGGACCTTAGGTGGAATCCTGAGCCCCATCCAGAACCTTCTGAAATGGGTCATTTCCTCTTGAAAGGATAAGCAGACCAGCTTGAAACAGCTAGAAAAAACAGAAGATACTTCTTGAAATAAAGACCAGCAAGAAAAATCCAAAAAACAAAAACGGCATTCTGATTGGATACTACAAGAATAAGAAAATTGTTTGTCAGGGAGCCATCAAAGCAAGCAATCAAATCCCTTCAAGGGCCACCCTACTTCCCTCCCCCTCCCCCCTCCAGTCTAAGACTGAAACTCAAAGGGAACAAATGAATAGGCATTTTGGGTGGCCAAGTTTGTCTGCTGGTGAGTGGAAGAGGGGGAAAGGCATCAATTAAGTTATGGGCTGAATTTGACCATGTTCCATAGACTACTGTAGACCTGGAGATGAGAGAGAGAAGCGAAAGGGCTGTGTGGTCTGAAGTGTGGTGAGACCTGAGGACTCGTGAGCCCATGAACAAAGACACAGCCATGGAAGCCTAGAGCTGAGAGCAAAGTGCCCAGATAATATGATGTGTGGGGAGATGTACAAGAACATTCAAACTTGTAGGCAGTATCATTCAATCTAGTCAGAACTGGACTGTTGTGGTTGTTGTCGTTAGGTGCCATCGAGATGGTACCAACTCATAGCGACCCTATGCACAATAGAATGAAACACTGCCCGACTAGAGGAAGATAAACTTTTATATATATATATAAATGAAATATGTGTAAATGGCTACAATTTGATGAACTTGACCTATACTTATGGATGTAGTAACTCAAAACACTAACTGAAAGCCTAGGAGTCTTCATATCAAGGATCAATCATATCCTTTTTGTATACAGGGTTGATAGGGATGGGCAACTTAGACACTGGATACCTAAAAGGTGGTGGCTACCTATAAAGGCATGAAGTGACTATCTTTAAAGTTTTCAAGAGGGAGTTTAGTCTCAGAGTGTGCCAGGGAAGGTAGAAGCCCCACTGAATAGTTTTCATATTGTCTAGATGGTTCTGGTGAAAGAGATGGGGATAAGATTCTTACGAGTCAATAGTGAGTAATTCTTATTATGACTAATTGTGACTATCACAACTGTAAGGGTAGAAGAGTTTTGTAACATAAAGGGGGGAGAAGTTGATCTTACAGTCCAAGAACAAAGGACCCTAGGACCATCAAGGGAGAACAGCATGAGCGGAAAGTGGGACTCTAGAGAAGCAGCAACACCAGAGATGAAGGCAGAGATGAAGACATGGAGACATACAGCCTCTAAGGACTCTAGACTCATGGAAAGAGAAAGGCTGTGTGCAGGTTCGTGGCCAGTAGACAGGCTTGCAGAATATGTCCTTTGGTTGTTTAAATGATTATATATTCCTGAGTGTTTTTATGTACATACAAAACAAAAACAAAAACAAAACCCAAAAAACAGAGGGAATAGAAGCAAATACTGTTGAATGATGATGCACAGAGGAGATTGTAATCATTGCAATGAAATGATGAGTGTAAAACCAATGTAAACTATCACTCAATTCACAATATAAACTTTTAAAGAAGGTAATTTCCCATAAAATAAAGAATATACTGGTTGTAAGGGAGAAGTCTGGTTAGGGAGATTTTGAAGCAGAGGAAGAGTCAGAAACGACAACTTTGGCAGTGTGTCTCCACTTCATGCCACAGTTTAAAAAATCTTTATTGAAATAACATACCTTAATTTTTTGTAACTGCTGTAGAAAAGCTATATGTATTTTAACATATATTCAAACCTGTGAAACTATTGCCACAATCAAGATAATTAATATTTTCATCAACTTCCAAAATTTTCTCATACCTCTTGGTAATTCATCTTTCCATCTCTGTCCTGAAGCAACTACTGATCTGCTTTCTGTCATGATAAATTTCTATAATTTTATAACAGTTTGTACTTATTTTGTCTGGCTTTAATGAAGCATGCCTTTGAGGTTCATACATGTTGTTGCATGTATCGATAGTTCATTCCTTAATATCAATGATTAGTATTCCATTGTATGGTTATACCACAGTTTTGAGGGTTGTTTCCTCGCTTAGGCAATTATGAGTAAAATGTTGTTGAACAACAGCAAAAAACAAGTTTAAAAAATGTTAAAGTTAAGAAGAAAAACATACATTCCAGTAGAGGATCATTTTGTACAGTGAAAATGTTAAATCTTTTATGATTTGACAAAAACCTACTTCATGTGGTAGTTTGTAGAAAAAAAATAAACTTTTTGTATAATAAATTCCGATCAATAGCTACAAATAATAGTAAAAATATGACTAAATTTTATTTTTAAGTAGTTAGCTGGTTTACAATACTCCCTAATCATTTTGTTCCTATTTAAGATATTAAACTACTAAAATAAGACCACAATTTAGGCCCAAGTTACAAAATATATACAATGAGAGATCAGAGAATTTCAAAGGAATGAAAGCATAGCATCTTGACCCTCTTGGCTCTCTTATCCCCTTAGGGATAAGGTAAGACAAAGAATGACTGATATCAGTAAAGAAAGAGGTTGAAGACAGCTTCTGCCCAAAACCTATGATATTGGCTTACTACAAAAGATAGCATTAAAAAAGGAATAGGTTACCCAGGGTTTTAAACACAAAAACATCATATGTTTAAAATCCATTCCAAAATGAATACTTACAGCCGTTTTATATGCAGCTTCAATGTAAAACACAAGGTTCTGTATGAAGTTGACTTCATCTAGGCTATGGATGATATGGAGTCCTTAAGAAAAAGGGAATGAAATATAGAACTGGTCAATTATCAGTATAAGTTTCATATGCAGCCATAGTAACTAACTGACCTCGCTACTTCCAAGTACTTCTACTCTTGCTTTGAAACAATGAAAGACACTTTGATTCCTAAACCACAAAATTAAGATCACAAATTAGTCCAATGAAAGTCTCCTGACAAAATATTTTAACTGTTATTTCTGAGTTTTATTACAAAGTGTGTAAATCCTCATTCTATAGGTAATTAATTTATAATGTACTTAAATGTACAATCCTGGACACCTGGAGAAAGAAAAACTGATACTTCAAAACAGAGTTGGAGGGAGTCTATTAAGCAAGAAGTAGATTAAAATTATGATTTAAATAGATAACCATGTTTCTTAATTAAAATGAGTTATTCTGTATGTAATTTATGCAAAAAAAATACTTAGAACTAACACAGGGAGTGCTTTGAATGCATTATCTATTTAATTTTTGCATCAACTCTAAGTATTGGGGACCTCTATTTTCTCCATGAGGTTTGTTATGTGCCGTGGAGTCAGTTCCTACTCATAGTGACCCTGTACAGTGTTTCCGAGGCTGTAAATCTTTACAGGAGCAGAAAGCCTTATCTTTCTCCTGCGGAACAGCTGGTAGTTTCGAACCATTGATCTTGTGGTTCTCAGCCCGATTCATAACCACTATGATACCAAAGCTCCTTTGTTGTTGTTGTCAGGTGCCATCGAGTCGGAACCGACTCATAGCGACCCCATGCACAGCAGAACGAAACAATGTTCGATCCTGGGCCAACCTCACTACCGCTGCCACACTTGAGTCCATCAATGATGCCACCTGGCTGATCCATCTCGTTGGGGGTCTTCCTCTTTTTCTCTGACCCTACACCCTAACCAGCATGACATCCTTCTCCAGCGATTGTTTCCTCCGGACAATATGTCCAAAGTAGGAGAGACGAAGTTTAGCCATCCTGGCCTCCAAAGAGCACTCTGGCTGCACTTCTTCCAAAACAGATTTATTGGTTCTTTTGGCAGTCCATGGCACTTTCAGTATTCTCCTCCAACACCACAACTCAAAGGCATCAATTCTTCTACGATCCTCCTTATTCACTATCCAGCTTTCGCATCCATATGAGGTTACTGAAAACACCAAAGTTCCTTAGAGACATTAAATATCTGTCTCCCTAAATATTATAAGGACTCCTGGTGTGGCACTGTAGGATCAGCACTGGACTGTGAACCACTAGGTCAGCAGTTCAAACTCACCAACTACTTCTCCAAACCCTATATAGGGTTGTTGTGAGTTGGAACCAAGTCAACAGCACTTAACAACAACAAATATTATAAATAATAATAAATGAAGTTATGACACAATTGACTCTCAACTTCTATTGCACTTCAGAGACTGAGGGCCTAATCAAGAAACTATACTTCATTGTGTTATTGTTGTTGTTAAGTGCCACAAGTCAGTTCTGACCCATAGCATCCTTACGGTGAACTGAAACTGCTGACCTTATAGTTCGAACCAATTTTGCAGTCTAGCACATTAACCTATAGTGCCACACCAATACTATATTGCAATAAGTACAAAATGGTCTGTTTTATGAGTTGGAACTGACTTGATGGCACTTGACAACAACAAGCACACACATGCACAGACAGAAAAAAAAGGAGTAGAAAAATATATACCAAGATTTTAAGAACAGTTGTTTCTGCTGGTGGGATTGAGAGTTGCTTTATTGTTTTGTAAATTTTTGTAGTTTTATAGTATTCTTCAATAAAGGTGTGTTATTACAAATTTTAAAGAATTGTATAAAAGATAAAACTCATTCAACAAAGAATAACATGAAATTATATACTATAAAATTTTATATAAAATTATTAAATCCTGAACACGGAAACTTTCTACAGGTTTAAGCTTTAGTAGGAATCCCTGGATGGTGCAAACTTAACCTGCTCAGCTGTTAATCAAAAGGTTGGGTGGAGGTTCACCTCCACCCAGAAGCAACTCAGATGAAAGGTCTGCAGATCTACTTCTGAGAATTAGCCATTGAAAACCTTATGGAGCATAATTCTACTGACACATGGGGTCCACCATGAGTCAATGGCAATTTTACTGGAAGCTTTATTAAGCAATTAACTTTTGAAACACCTCTTTTGCAACAATAAATGTTACTGTGTTCATATTATGTAGCACTATACGATAAGTGCAGAACCACAGGTCAATTTGAACCACAAAGTTGGCAGTTCAAACTCACCAGTCACTCCTCAGAAACCCTATACTGGGTCATTATGAGTCAGAACTGACCTGATAACACTTAATAACAACACATACCTTGGTAGCGTACATGGTGAGTTACAAGTTGGGTTGTTAACCGTAAGGTGAGCAGTTTGCTATACAACCACTATGTGGCAGAAAGAAAGGCTTTCTGTTTCTGTAATGATTTATACCCCTGGAAATGATTTCCAGAGTTGCTATTAGTCAGAACTGTCTCAGTGGCCCACACCATCTAAAGTCTTTGTTTATAACACTTGATTCTAAACTGAGAAATCATTTCAATATTGAAAAACCAAGAAGCTTGTTTTTTTTTCCAGCAAAAGAAAGAGGTGAGGACCAGGTGCTAAAGAAACTAAAAATTTAACCTTTTCACATTTTCCTAACTGAAACTATTTTAATGAAACAAAATTTTTATACCCACATTTTTCATAAAAATAGGTACATTAATTTAATGAAAATGATTATATGTGCCAGATATATGGTTATATTACAGTCAGACAAACAAAAATATTTTTCAATTAGCTAAGACACAGGTATAATCTATAGCAAGTGCATCTAGATATTAAAGCATCTTTAAGAAGACTTTAGAATGGAAAAACTTCTCTCACATTCTTATAAGAAAAGTGATTGCCAAATGTTTCTTAATGCCAGCTTTCAAATGAATTCTACCTAAATTTCCTTCATGGCACAATATCCAAAAACAAGGAGAGGGTGGTGAGTTTGAAACATTGACCTTGTAGTTCAAACTGACTTTGCAGTCCAGTGCATTATCCTACAGTGCCACACCAGGACTCCAAAATACACTTCTTATTGTTGTTAAGTGCCATTGAGTCGGTTTCGACCCACAGTGACCCTGTATAGGGTTTTTGAGGAGCAGCTGGTGAGCTTGAACTGCCGACCTGCAGTTCAAACAGCTTAGCAGCCTGGTGCATTAACCCACAGCACTACATCAGGACTCCTTAGGTTGTATTTAATCCTTTGTGACTACAATGATACTCTGTGTGTATATATATTTAGATACATGTACCAGTGTGTCATCAGAATAAATTTTTAGAAGTATAACTGTGGTACAAAAAGACTTAAGTATATTATTTTTTCTAACATTTTATTACTTAAAATGTCAATATAGCAAAAAATGTTAAAAGAATTTTACAGTGAACACTTATGTCCTAGTTTCCCAGTCCTGTTGCAATACAAATACCACAAATGGATGGATTTAAACAACAGAGATTTATTTTCTTAGTTTATGAGGCTCAAGTTCAGGTTGTGAGTGATTCTAGGGGAAGGTTCTTCTTTGGCTATTTCAGCTTCCAGTGGCCAGCAATCCTTGGATTTCCTGGACTTGTAGGTTCACTTGCCTCTGCAGTCAGGAAGCAACTGTCTTCCCTCAGGTCTGTATGCCTGTGTCTAATTTGCTGCTTTTAGAACTTGAAATTAATTAGATTTAGAATTCATCCTTCTTGAGTATAGGTTACACTTACCAGGTGTAAGGGTTAGAATTCCAATACATGTTTTTTGGGGAACAATGTAATCCATAAAAACTCACATATTCACTATCTGGAGTCTACCATTGTTGTTGCTAAGTGCCATTGAGTCAATTCCTACCCATAGCAACCCTGTATAGATAGGGTTTCCAAGGAGCAGCTTGTGAGCTTGAACTGCAAATGGCTTTGCAGTCTGGCGCATTAACCCAAATTAGCATTTTATTATTTTTTTTCTCACATTACCTATCTACCCCTTTACCCATTCATCAATTCACCCAATTTTTTGATACTTTTCAAAGTTTCAGACTGTCAGTACATTTCCCCTAAATACTTCAGCATGTGTATATTAAATTTTGATGATAGTTATTACCAAGTTATTCTTCAAACAAGTACCAACATCATTAACAATCTATTTTCCTACACCACTGCCAACACAGGCTATAATAATTTTTTTTTAATGTTTTGATCATTCTAACGTATGAGAAATAGAATCTCTTTGTATGAGTGTGAGTCAAAAATAATTTGCACTCTGGTTATATTCAAATGCCTGTCTGCATCCATGGTTGATGACAACATTGAACTTGCACATGAAATGATTTTGTCAAATAGACAAGTGACAGTAGATTATTATGTGGCAAATCATTTTCAAATCAGCCATGACTCTGCCTATGAAGTAACCCACAATAGACTAGGATTTAGAAAAGATTGTGCAAGATGGGTACCAAAACAACTCATGGAAAAGCATAAACAGAAGTGTTTGTTTTTAATAAAAGTTGATTGAAATAAATTCTACAGCAAGAGTGCGGATAATTTTTGACTCACACTCATAAGTGTGTGTGAGTGTGTGGAAGTGTGTATTGACTCACTTCCTTTTAATGGATTGACCATGCATAGTAGACCTTATCATAGAGTTGATTACATTATATTACATTTAAACTGTGAAACCACTGAGAATCCTGGCCCAGTCAAGTTGACACAAAAACTTAGCTTTTAGAGTTCACCCCATGTCAACTTGGCACCTGTACATATGTCCTTAAACTATATACATAATCTCTAAATAAAGACAATTATAAAGTCATACTTATGCCTAGCATGACACTCTAACATGCATATAAACTGAAAACACACTGATCCCATTTATGTCTTATATTTCACAAATGAACAAAGCAAAAATATTAGATGCAAACATACAAGAAAAAAATATACTCATAATGAAGTCCTTCTTTCCGAAACTGGT